TGCCTGCATGTGGGTGCATTGCTGTATATTGCCAAAAGATTCACAGCGAATGAGATGTCAGGTCTAGTGCATTGAGCCAAGTACAATAAAGCCCCAATTGCACTTAGGTAAGGAACTTTGGGTTCCAAAACCTCTTCTCCATCCTCCTTTAGACGGAAGAGATCTCGTTTAGCATCTAGAGTCTGAATGACCATGGGTGTACTCGAATGCTTTACTTTATCCTCATTAAAACGACACAACACATTTTGGGTGCAGTTCGATTGATGTACTAAGATTCCATCTGAACGATGCTCGATCTCCAGGTCGAGATAGTATCGAGTTCTCCCAAGATCCTTCATCTCAAATTCTAATTTCAAGTGTGCAACAATTTCCTCAAGCTTTGCGAAAGTCCCGATGAGGTTCATGTCATCGACATAAACTGCAATGATTGTAAATCCAGAATGTGACTTCTTTATGAACACGCATGGGCATAATTCGTTGTTCACATAACCCTGACTTGTCAAATATTCACTCAGACGGTTATACCACATCCGCCCGGATTGTTTCAGTCCGTAAAGTGGCCTTTTCAACCTAATTGAAAGAGTGTTCTGTGGTCTAGAACTATTTGAACCAGTCAATGGAGTCCTTCTGGAACTTTCATGTATATCTCTATATCTAGATCCCCAAAGAGATACGTGGTTACCGCGTCCATAAGCTGCATATTCAATTTTTTGGAAACTACCAAACTAACTAGGTAGTGGAACGTTATAATGTCCATTACGGGGGAATACGTCTCCTCGTAATCAATCCTAAGGCGCTGAGAGAAACCTTGCGCTACAAGGTGTGCTTTGTATCGCACTATTTCATTCTTCTCATTACACTTCCTCATGAAAACCCACTTGTAGCCAACGGGCTTCACGCGTGGTGGTGTAGGAACAATAGGTCCAAACACTTTACATTTCGAGAGCAAATCGAGTTCACCTGGATTGCTTGTTTCTAGTTTGACCAATCGGTTCTACATCGACATTCATCAATGGAACGTGGTTCAATGTCATCGTTAAGCATGATGTTAATAGCTACTGAGTATGCAAATGCTTCGTTGACGATCATCTTATTCCTACTCCAAACCTCATCCAATACTACGTAGTGGACTGAAATCTCGCGATTCTCGGGAGGCCGGCATGTTTTGTCTGAAGCATCATCGTAATCTAGAATAACCTCATGCGTTAAAATGGATGAGTGAGCGATGGTCGAATTCAAACTAAGGTCACTAGTTGGTGCCATTTTCCTCTTCCGGGGTTGTGAATCATTTGAACCAAGGGGTCAGCCACGCTTTAGGGTCGGAGCAAATGATTGGCTAGCTGTCATTGTACCTTGCCACGTGGAAGGTGAGGCCTCCCTACCTTCGGGGAAGGTCCGGCTTTCCCAGGTAGGTTGTGGACGTACACGGGGTACCTCTATCCTTGCAGGTGCGTTTGCAGTGGGTATATGTAATCTTGTCACCTTTGCTAGATCATTAAAAGCATTTAGCATACTTTGAACAATGCTCTGAAGATCTATAATTCGTCGCACCTCAGTTTCAGACTGGGCAGTGGGAGGATCTAAATGAGACATAGTGGGAGCATACCACGACAATTCGCAGGATTCTACGGGAACTTTAACATGCTTATCTTCCCCTAATAACGGGAAGATTGTTTCATCAAAGTGACAATTCGTAAACCGTGAGGTAAAGAGATCTGCTATCAAGGGTTCTAAGTAGCGAACAATTGATGGCGAATCATAACCGACATAGATTCCCATTTTTCTCTAAGGACCTATTTTGGTACGTAATGACGATGCTATTGGCATATCAATAGCACACCCAAACACCTATAAATGCGAGATGTCAGGCTCATATCCAGTAACCAACTATAACGATGAATATGGTTGAGTAGCGGTGGGCCTCAAGCGGACCAACATAGCTGCGTGCAATATTGCATAGCCCCAAGCAGATACCGGCATTTTGGTTTTCATAACCAAAGTCCGAGCTATCAATTGAAGGTGCTTTATGAAAGCTTTTGCCAGGCCGTTTTGGGTGTGAACATTGGGTACAAGATGTTCCATATCAATCTTTACTGACATGCAATAATCGTCAAAAGTCTGTGATATAAACTCTCCAGCGTTATCCAGTCGAATCGACTTAATCAGATAATAAGAGTGGTGAGCCCTTAACTCAATGATTTGAGCTAGGAGTTTAGCCAACGTGGCGTTGCATATGGACAACAGGCAAACATGCTACCATCGTGTTAATGCATCAATCAACACCATAAAGTATCTAAATGGTCCGTAAGTTGGTTGGATAGGTCCACAAATGTCCTCTTGAATCATCTGAAGAAATTTAAAGGGGTCATGAATAATCTTTGTATATGAGGGTTGAATATTTAACTTCCTTAAAGAACACGCTTTGCATGGCGGGAGTCCAAAATAGGGATGTAACTTATGCCCGTGTGAAGATTTGAAGATATAGTGCATCATGTCATGTCTAGGATGTCCCAAAAAGTCATGCCAAAGCAACAGAGTGTCTTGGAACTCAGGCATTGGATCGGCCACACTATGGGCTTCTATGTCGTGAATGGTTGTGATGTACAACCCACTCGGCAGACGTTCCAACTTCTCGTGAATACGCTTCTGGCCATATTCATATGAAGTGATACAAAGAAATTCAGAACCATTATCTTCAGTGGTTTCAATATGATATTGATTATCTCGAATATCTCTAAAACTCAACAACGTTCTTCCGAAACGTAGAGAATAAAGTGTCTCCTTAATGGTCAAGATAGTACCATTCGACAACATGATATGTGCCTTTCTGTATCCTTCAATCAGGTTGGATTAGCCTGAGAGAGCTGTCAAATAAGCTTTCTTGGGTATTAAGTTAGTAAAATAGTGTCGTTCACGCAAGATGGTGTGCGTGGTTGCACTATCTGCCAGACAACTAACTTCCCCATTAGACATACCTAGAAATAAATTGATTGAATTGGTCACATGTATAAATATAATTCCATTCATTCAATCAAGCAATTCGAGAAAATAATATCCATTCAAGTAACAATCCATAATTCAAAACAAACCAAAACCAAACAAATTATTCCAAATACTTAGAAAAATTGTTCAAAATTAAACCATAAACCTAGAAAAATAGGGGCACCATAAACCTAGAAAAATAGGGGCGGTAAGGCCGGCCACTCCTAGTGGGTTCGACCACTAGGGGTAAACACCCTAAAAACATGTCTAATTTATTCATCCATAGGAGTTGACGCCTCTTAAAAATCCGATATCTCCATTGATGTAGTTGTATCTTCCGAATGATCCACATGTGCAAAGTTAGACTCAGGATGGGAATGATACTTGGCAATAGCCTCAGGGGAAGCTCGGCATACGCGTGACCAATGATCCCTTGATCCACAGCGATAACACATGTCTAGTTTAGTATAAGCAGGTTGAATTAGAGCTTTGATCTTGCTCTTGAAGTTTGGGGCCTTAAGGGCGAGTGGTGGACTCTGCTGGGTCACATTTCTTCCCTTAGATGCGGTACTCTATTAACCTTGGGCATATGGTAGGGCTTGCCACCCATTGCCATGGCTACAACGATTCTTTCGTTGTTTATGGCTGCTAGAATTAATCGCATGTGCTTCAAGTGTAGCATTCGAGCCAATCGGTCGAGCTTGATGATTCTTCATAAAAAGTTGGTTCTGCTTTTCAGCGAGAAGTAAAACAGAGATCAAATCCGAAAACTTGGTGAATTTTTGTGCCCTATATTGTTGCTGCAAGACAATGTTGGTGGCATGGAAGGTCGAATAGGTCTTTTCCAGGAGATCTAATTCTGTTAGTTCTTCTTTGAACCCAACCACCAAACAACAATCTCCATATTCATAAACGACATTGATCAAGTTTGAATTTTAGGTATCATTTTGATGCGCTGGTCAATATCAGGGACTATTTCTGATAAAAATATGAATTTGACTACAATATTTACATGTATTTAATACAATTAATATCTTTAGGATATAATTTGGCCACTTATTTAAATGTTATTTATGTAGAATGTCTAATTGATGAACTTATTAGAAAAGAAATCCATGTTTGTGCCTCAAATTTATCTATTAGCTTAACAGTGGTGTTCATGTCAAGTTGTTAACAAATCAATTGTGTCCAACACCATCTGAAAACGAAAAAACAATCATTTTTCTGTTTTTAGAATATATTAATTTTTTAGGGTAAATTACATTTTACCCCCTCAGGTATAGGGTCAATTACAACCTCATACAATATTTTTAAGACATTTCAATTTCATATACTTAGCTACATTTCTTTTCAGTTTCATACATCCATTGAAAAATCCGTTAAGTAATGACGTGAGAAATGTAGGGTCCACATTTGTGCTGACATGAATGCCAACTTTGCACCATGTGAATAAAAAATAATAAAAAGTATGATTTAATAAAAAAATCAATTTTTTATAATTAAAAACTTAAAATTTTGAAAGGAGGATCTAGGCAGCTTGGTGAAGGAAATTTTTTTTTTGGTCGTTGTCCCCAATAACCCATTCCTCTACATCAACTCACACTCCTATACGTTTCCAATCACTACCACCAAAACCCACGATCTCACAACTAGCTTGCAGCTGGGTCCGTTCCGTCACTCCCGAGTTCGATCTCGACATGACTCAGTAGGGCGAGAGGCAGATCTGGAAACGGGGCTCCACCCGGTTCAGCCCTAACACCTCAATTCCATCCAACGAGGTGGAAGTGGACTACCATTTGCCTCGATGTTCTTGTGATGTAGCTCTGTGCGATTCATGGCCAATAAGGTCGCAAAAGACTCATCATGACGATGATTGACGACGACATTGAACGAGGAGAGATCGTTGTCAATGCGGGAAGCTGTAGCAACACAAAAGGCTACCGTGGCGGCATCGTCTGCGATGAAAGAAGCCAACAAATGGAGGAAAAGAAATAGGAAATAACGTATCATCGGGAGAGATGGGTGTGGCGTTAGGAACGGCAAAGCCAGTAAGGATGTCGTTGATGGACTTGTTAGATACGAATAGGCAGATGGGGATGGAGTCGAATCGAGGAAGAGGCACCGTAATAGCTGTTAAGCAGCTTTCTTCCAAATCAAAGCAAGGGAATCGTGAATTTGTTAATGAGATTGGCATGATTTTTGCTCTACAACACCCTCATCTTGTCAAGCTCCACAAATGTTGTATTGAAGGAAATCAATTATTGCTTGTCTATGAGTATCTGGAAAATAATAGCTTCGCTCATGCTTTCTTCAGTAAATCTTAGTCTTGTTTGCCAAAAGTTCATTTCATCATACAGTGGCACAAAAGATCTTATGCACTAAAAATATGTCCCTTACAACTAACCTTGTTTAATTTGGCAAATTGAAGGGGCAGAAGAAAGTCATTTGAAGTTGGATTGGCCAACAAGGCACAAGATTTGCATTGGTACAGCAAGAGGTTTGCTTATCTTCATGAGGAATCAAGATTGAAGATCGTTCATGGAGACATCAAGGCTACTAATGTTTTGCTTGATAAAAATATTAACCCGAAAATATCTGACTTTGGATTGGCCAAGCTTGATGAAGAGGATAATACTCACATTAGCACCCGTATTGTTGGAACTTAGTGAGTCCCTAAACTTTTATTTATCTTCTTATTCTCTTGTTTTGATCTTCTTCCACCCTTAAAAAGAAGATAGAGCAATTGAAAGTCTATAACTTACATAATTTTCAACCTAACCAAATCTTTGTTGTTCAATAAATTTCAAGGGCAGATTTGTTCTTTGAATATAGTTGTATTACTGTGTATCTCTCTAACTATTGGATTAATCTATTAGCAATATTTTTACTAATTATTTTAGCTAAATCTGGGTTAATGATATGATTTCATGATATTGTAGTGGATACATGGCGCCCGAATATGCAATGCGGGGTTGTCTAACTGATAAAGCAGATGTCTATAGTTTTGGTATTCTCGTTTTGGAAATTCTTAGCGGGAGAAACAACACAACTTACTGGAAAAAGGAAGAAAGCTTTTATCTTCTTGATTGGGTAACATGAATCTACTACTTCCTAATTTAACTTCAAATTTTCTTAATATACCTTATATGTGTGAAAGTACATTTGAATCGGTGAAGTTTAATCCAAAGACAGAATTTATAAGCAAGCTTTTGTTACTTCCATTTTTTGTAGGCACGACTTCTAAAAAAGCATAGGAATTTGATGGACCTAGTTGATCCAATGTTGGAATCAGACTTTAACAAAGAGGAGATGACTGTTGCAATCAATGTGGCTCTCCTTCGTTGCAATGTTACTTTGACAGCTAGGTCTACCATGTCTTCGGTTGTGAGCATGCTCGAAGGAAGGGCTGTTGTTCAAGAGTTTGTCTCGGATCCAAAAGCAGAGAGTATTGAGATCGATGCAATGAGGAAACATTTTCAATCTAGTTTTGGAAGGGGCACAAACGAGAAACAGATAGAAATGGGGTCAACTGAAGGGCCATGGACTGCTTCGTCTGCGTCTGCTCACGATCTGTATCCCATCAATCCTGATTCAGATTAATGAGAGAACAGAAGCGAGAGAACTTGAGCTGCACAGTTATCAGTTTGACTCAACCTTAGCACACTCAAACATATCAGCTAATAAATAATTTGCATTTCCTCTATAACTATTTTCTTTTTTCTGTTTGATAATATAGTAGAAAGCAGAACTGAAGAAGTTTCTAAAGCATGGTAATTATAAATTGTGAAATCAGCTCGTTTCAGTATTTTGAAGTATGGTAATATGATTTTCTTTTCGAATAATAAATTTATATTTCAATACCTAGATTGGATCAATTGTTTCGATCAACTTCCTTCAAAATAAAAATTGATCATAATCTTGGCTGCTAAGTTTGCAACACAGGGCAGAGTTTTAGTCAGAGGAAAATGGAATACGTTATTTGGCAGCTAAATTTTGGTATTTGAATGTTTTCGTGCTTATACTGCTGAGTATAAAATAATGGCCCCGCTGTTACTAAAATTAAAGTAATGCACTTAGTACTAGTTTGTTACCGTTTAAATTTAAATAAAAATAAAAAATAAAATAAAAAAATAGAAAAAAGAAAGAAAGAAAGGCGGGTATCATAAAATGCTTCCAGCTTCATAATTTTATTATCACTAACGTTTTAAAAAGTCAGCTAAGTTCAGGCAAGTTCCATCGTACTACAAATACAAAAACTGTAAAGGAGGGGAATACAGTAAGTTGGTTGAACACTCTACCATTTTGGCTATGTGGTTGTTTGTGAAGAGAGTAGGTAATGTACACCAAAATTGAAAAGGAGGGGAATACAACAAGTTGGTTGAGAGAAGGAACTTAATTTAGTAAAATCGGAAATCATTTATGGAGGATTTTCTACAGAAAAAATATATCTAATATATAAGGTAAGCAAGATTTAAAGAATGTGCCTGAAAAGAAAAATGATACGTGATGTAAATCATTGCCTAAAAGATAAACAAATTGCCAAGTTTTCTTAAATTTAGTTTTGGTAGTTCTGAAGTTTACTTCAATGGCATTGATTTTGATTGTTGTAGAATATAGGTATATATAACTACAAGAATCCCTGCTACATAGCTAATTGGTACAAAGTAATTAAGTAATCAGCTTGCGATGCTCTCCCTTATTAAGAACGCCCAACTTGCCTAATAAAGATTTAAAACGTCCCTTTCCCAATGCTTTAGTGAAAATGTCGGCAAGCTGTGACATGGATGGAACATAATAACTTGTGACAACTTTTCCTTCCATGATTTTATTCCGAACATAGTGACAATCAATCTCAATGTGCTGTGTGCGTTTATGGAGTACTGAATTTACGACAATGTGAAGAGCAGCTTGATTATCACAAAACAAAGTTGCAGCTCCCTAGTTGCAAAGTTGTATATCACGAAATAGAATTTGTAGCCAAGCCAACTCACAACAGGTTGCTGCCATGGATTCATACTCTTCTTCGGCAGAGGACAAAGAGATTGTCTTTTCATGTTTGCTTTTCCATGAAACAAGAGAGTCTCCAAGAAAAATATAATAATCAGTGGTGGACCGCTGAGTGGTTGGGCACCCTGCACTATCTAAGTTAAGTATGCTTTCAACTTCAAATCATTTTCTGAAGAAAACATAAAACCTTGTTCGGGTGGCAAAATTTTTAGTTGTGACGAGAACACAAGTGGTATACCACGTGTTTTAATAGAAGTGGTGAGGAATTTTATTTTTTAAGTTATTAACTTTTTAGCACACATATCCCACCATTTGTATAGTGACACGTGGTGTACCATCCCCTGTACCGGTCACACTGAAAAATCTCTCGTTCGGGTGTCCATTTTAAGTATCTCGAAATGTGCAATGCAGCCTCATAGTGTGATTTTTGAGGTGCTTGCATGATTCTACTCAAAAAGGGGAACAAGTACATGATCTCTGGCAGGATAATAGTGGGATAAATTAGATGACCAATCAATCTCCTATATTTAACATGACCATTGAGCATTACAATCTCATCAAAAAGCAATTTGAGATTTTTCTCAATAGAGAAAGTGCTAGGTTGTGATCCTAAAAATCCCATATCATCAAGAAAATCCAACAAATATTTCCTTTGCGAAATAAAAACCCCGTTTTTTGAATGCACCACTTCTATGTCTAAAAAGTATTTTAAAGGGTAAAGTGCAAAAAACTACCTCAACTATTGGTGTCACGACACTTTCATACCTTATCTTTTTAAAATGACAATGTCATGCCTCATCTTACGAATTTGTGTCAATGTCATAACTCCGTCAGTTTTTCTATTAATTTTTCTGTTAAGTGCTGACGTGGTTAGATACAGGGATCACTCACTAATCCAACTGGATTAAAATATAATTAAATATATTTTTTAATAATTAAAAATTAAAAAAAAATTATATTAAATCTTTCTCTCCTCTCTTCTCTCTCTCTCTCCCCCCATCTCTCTCGCCTCTTTCTTTTCTCTCCATCCCCAAAACCCCTTCCCACCCAACACCCCTCCCCCCCCCCCACAACCTTCCTTCACCACCCTATTTCACTTTCGCCTCTCTCTTCTCTCTTTCTGGACACCCACCTACATCCCTCAAACCCTTCGCACCCGTCCCCCCAACCTTCCTCCCCCTCACCCTTTCTTCCCCTTGTTCCCCGTCTTCCCAAACTCAAAACCAGAACTACCCAACCCAGATCCCACCCAGCTCCAAACTCAAAACTAGAACCACCCAACCCGGATCCTACCCCGTTCCCGTCTTCTTTGTCTTCCCCGAACGGTTTGGACCACACCCAAATCCGACAATCCGTCAACCCGGTGTACATCGCCCTGTCATTCGATATTGCCAACGCATTTACAGCGTCCTCATGCGCCTTGACCAACTCGATGCAACGGAGATCCGAAATCTTCAGGCTCAACGCATCGGAGATCCAGAGGCATTTCTCGTGGCCTAATGCGGTGTAGAAGGGGTTGTGGTTGACGGCGAGGCATGTGATTGAGAGGGAGGGGCCGTGGGGTGGGAGAGTGGTGAAGCAGAGGTGGGAGACGGAGAGGTCGAGAGCCTCTAGATAGGAGAGTTTTTTTAGGGAAAGGTTGCGCAAAGAAGATGGGAGCGAGGGGAAGAAAGGGTGGGGGGGATGGGTGGGAAGGATGGGAAGGTTTTGGGGATGCAGGTGGGTGTCCAGAGAGAGAGAAGAGAGGCGAGAGAGAGATGAGAGAGAGGGTAGATCCATAATTTTATATAAAAAAATAATTTTATTTTTAATTTTTTAATTTTTAATTATTAAAAAATATATTTAATTATATTTTAATCCAGTTGGATTAGTGAGTGGCCCCAGTATCTAGCCACATCAGCACTTAACAGAAAAATTAACAGAAAAACTGACGGAGGTATGGCATTGGCACAAATTCGTAAGACAAGGTATGACATTGTCATTTTAAAAAGATGAGGTATGAAAGTGTCATGACACCAATAGTTGATGTAGTTTTTTGTACTTTACCCTATTTTAAATTACCAAGATCTTTGATGTAGAACTTGGTATTTAAACAATTTTAGGCTATTAATTGCCATTGAATCGTTTCCTGTAATCAAAATACCGTCAACATAAATAAGGAGTGCAGTAAATGACTTACCTTCGTGTTTAGTGAAAAGCGAATAATCTATCACTTTTGATTGAACATAATCAGCGAACCTAATAGCTTGCGAAGACTTGAAAAACCATTGTCGAAGGACTTGCTTTAAACCATAAAGCGATTTATTGAGGCGACGTACCAAATTCTCCCCATGTCGGCGAAGATTAGAAGGTGGGGCCATGATTCTTGCATACTTCTTATACACGACCAACTCTGTATCGACCTAGTTATTAGTTACAAAGTCAATGAAATAATGATTCACAGTGTGCTTGTAACAAATACACATTTACCGTTTGTGTAATTCCTTTAGTTTTATTCTTTCTAAAGAACATTGGACATTTTCCTTCGGTTTTAAAGTAAGAAAACCAGTTCCTTCTTCCTATTTAATTCCCTAACCAAAAGTAAGTATTTTCTGTGATAAGTTAGTGTCTTACCTATTTAAGTAAGTATTTTCTGTGATAAGTTAGTGTTTTACCTGTTTGGTCTCATTTATGTGGCAGCTTTTCCTTTTAGTCATAGGATAGATGCGTAATGGATATCTGTTAATTTGCAACTAATCTTTGAAACCCTGTTTTCCGATGAAACATAGAATTCTAAAATCCCAAGATCTGCAAGAAACACTCCCACTAGAGCTGGTAAATCTCACCTATCTTCAAGAAATGTAAGCACATTTTTACCCCTCCAAGTTTACATTATTTAAAATAAAAAGAAAATAACTTTGTGCCGTGTAAATGGTTTATTCTAATTTCATAGATAGCTCACCTTTATGTCCGTTGTCAATGAGACAATAACTGGTTTCTTTCTTTCTCCTTCAGCGACCTCACCCGCAACTACCTGAGTGGTACCATCCCTCTAGAATGGTGCTCGTTTCCGCTTGTCAACATGTACTGTCTTCTCTCACACTGCATACATTTTTGTGTTTGATGCTCATGTCATGTTCTTGGTACTTTATTTGGTCACTCCAATGTTCTTCAGCCATTTCTTTCTTAAACTATGAATCTACTACATTGGGTTTTGTTCATGATAATGAGCTTACGTGGTCATTAGGTGTTTGAATCATAAATATTGAATCGACCATATGGGGTTCGTTGCCTTCGTATTGACGAACATGTTAATGTTATTGAGCCTCTTGCTTGATAAAGTGATCTTAAGACTATAGTTTTTGATGCAGAACCCTTTTTGGAAATCGTTTGACAGGTTCTATCCCCAAAGAGCTCGGAGACATCACCACCCTGAAGAGTTTGTGAGTGTTGATTGCGCATTTGTTTCTTGCGTATCCCATTTCTTTCTGTGGAGATCCTTAATGATGTTTTTTTAATCAATGGAATTGAATTTGTTTGTATAGGGACATCAGTTTCAATAATTTCTCTGGACGTCTCCCTCAGGAGCTTGGATCTTGAGCCAACATAGAAAGAATGTAAGAGTCCTATTCAAATTTTACCGTGTTAAAAAGTATTTGGTTTATTTGGAATTTTCTTTCTTGTAGACAAATTCTGGATGTTTTCACCAGTAAATTATCTACTTATTTATCATTGATATATTATTTTATCTGTTTCATACTTAGGCTACTTTCCTCAAACAACTTTACTGGGGAGTTGCCAGAAACATTTGCAATGCTTACCAAAATAAAGGACTTGTAAGCTTTTTTGGTTGTTTCTTCTTAAAGGTTTCTTGAGCACTTAAACATTTTTTTACTGCTTGCTGATACTAACTGGTAGTATTTTCCCTTTTCCAATCATTATGCGGTCGGGTTAGTGATTGTCACTTTTCTGGGCAGATACTGTTGGTTTATAAGTGTATAAGCTGAAATGTTATAAGAAATTAGAGTAGAACTAAGTTTAAATGTCAGCCCTTGGATCATAGTCCAGGTGAGCAGTTAAGATGTAATCTTAGAGTAAGTAATAGTTTATGCCAAGAGTCATTACCTTATAGGGTAGATAAATGAAGGGTCAGATTTGAGTGATGTAAAGAGGAATATTCCATTCCCAAACGGTCATATGTGCACAGTGTGCGTGTGAATGAATGTAATCAGCTCATTTGCTTCTTCTTCAAGC